CTCTGTCTCTCTCTGTCTTTCTGGCAAGCACACTCACCCTATAGCAAAAACTTCTCAAAAAAAAAAAAAAAGAAAGAAAGAAAAAAATAATTATTTTATTGCTGATAGGTGGCATGGTGGTTGAGGGCGCTGAACTCTCACATGGCCAACTGTGGTTTGAGTCCCAGACCCGGCTGCTTGCTTTCTTGCTTTCCCTCTCTGGCCAAATTAAAATAAATGAATGAAAAAATAAATAAAGTTGAATTTAAAAAGAATTTTTATTAATTCATTTATAAATAAATAAAAAATATAAAATAATTCTTTAAAAATAGATTGTCATAAGGTGGCCGGCAGGTAGCTAGACTTCCACATGACTAATTGTGGTTTGAGTCCCAGACTGGGAAGCTTGAAGATCACACTGGGTGCTTGTGCATGTGTGCCCGAGATCCTGAGAAGAGAATGGAGAGGGGATTGAGGTGTGGCCATGGCCCCTGAACAGTGATTTTTTTGCTTTCTGTCTCTCTGTTTCTCCAGAGAGTGCATTCATCCTATAGCAAAAATCTCTAAAAAAAATAATAAACTAAACAATAAACTTTTTTTTTGGAGAGGTTTTTGCTATAAGGGCGCGTGCTCGCCAGACAGAGAGAGACAGAGAGATAGAAAGCGAGAAATCATTCCCCGGGGGGGATGGACACGCTGCAATCCCTTCTCCTCCGTTCTCCTCTCGGGATCTTGGGCACGCACACACACGCGCCCGGCGTGAGTTTTAAGCCACCGGGTCTGGGATGTGAACCGCGGTCGACTACGTGGGAGTCCAGCGACATAGCCATTACGCCAACTGCTGGTCCCTAAACAATAAATTTTTAAAAATTTGGGACCAGCAGTTGGTGTAATGGCTATGTTGCTGAACTCCCATGTAGTCGACCATGGTTTGAGTCCTGGCCCCGGTGGCTTAAAGCTCATCCTGGGCGCGTGTGCATGCATGCCCAAGATCCTGAGAGGAGAATGGAGGAGGAGGGATTGTGGTGTGGCCACCTCCCTAGGGAGTGATTTCTTGCTTTCTGTCTCTCAGGTGAGCACTTGTTCCCTTAGCAAAAATCTCTGTAAAAACAAACAAAAACTTTAAAAAGTTATCAGGCTGACTGCACAGTATGGTCCCCAAACCCAGTGACTTGAGAAACATAGGAACATGTGCTGTGTGGCTGAAATCTGGAAAGGAGGGAAAGATAGAGAAGCGATTATAGAGTGACCATTCTCCATGGGAGGGTACTGTCTCACTTTCCCTGACTGTCTTCTACTATCATTCTCTGGTGAGTATATGGGCCCTCTGGCAAATTTTATAAAAAGGTTGTGAGGTCCACTTGTGGAATGGTGGTTAAAGCAGCTGGAATTCACACATTGTGGGGGATGGTAAGATGTGGATAGGAGGGAAGAACTCAAGAAAAAAAGCTTTTAATAGGCAGAACAATGGAAAGTTACCCATTGAGGATGACGTATATTGTATATGGTAACATTCTGGGAATTTGGGCATGCACACACAAGCACCTGACTTGATTCTTAAGTCACAGGTTCTAGGACTTGAAATGTATTCATTATATGGGAGTCTAACACCTTAACCATTATGCCACTTGTATGGCATATGGTGGTGGCCTCACTCTGTATCAGACCTTTTTTTTGAGAGAGATTTTTTGCTATAGGGCCAGTGAGCTTACCAGAAAGATGAGAGAGATAGAGAGCCAGAAAGCGAGAAATTATCCACGTAGTCGACCGCGGTTCGCATCCCGGACCCGGTGGCTTAAAACTCATGCCGGGCGCGTGTGCGTGCGTGCCCAAGATCCCGAGAGGAGAATGGAGGAGAAGGGATTGTGGCGTGACCATCTCCCCTGGGGGGTGATTTCTCGCTTTCTGTCTCTATGTCTCTCTCTGTTTGTCTGGCGAGCTCACGCGCCCTATAGCAAAAACCTCTCAAAAAAAAAAAAAAAAAGAATTTATTTTACTTTATGTTTTTTCATTTGACCAGAGAGAGACAGTGAGAGGAAAAGTGAGAAAGCAAGCTGCTAGTTGCAGGACCTGTTGTGGGAGACCAGCACCTTTAACCACACCACCTGCTGGTCCCAAAATTTAATGAGTTTTAATGGGTGTGAAGGAGTTTTGAAATGTAAAAAATGAGAGGTCAATGTAAGATATTTTTTCTTGTTCATTAATACTGTAGAGGTGAGAGAATCTGTCTCTTGAGGTTTGCTGAAAATCACTGACAATAGTGAGATTAATAATAGAAAAAGTCATTGGGGGCTGGCAGGTGGCGCGGTGGTTAAGGGTGCTGGACTCCCACATGGCTGACCACAGTTCAAGTACTGGACCTGGTGGCTTGCTTATAAATAAATAAATAAATAAATAAATAAATAAATAAATAAATAAATAAATAAATAAATAAATAAATAAATAAATAAATAAATAAATAAATAAATAAATAAATAAATGTTAAAAAAAAGTCATTCTGATTTAATCTATACATATGTATATAGAAACCATACAAAAAAGGCCTAGAGAAAAGCCTAGTGATGGAAGGTTTTATACCATATAGGTTTGGAAATAAGGTATGAAAAGTTAAGGAAAGAAAATGCAAAGATGCAAAAATCATCTTGTTTTTCTAGGCCAGGTGTCACACCTCTAAAGACCTTCCCATGTCTAGAGGAGTAAAGAGTAGGCTGGTTTACTTTACTGATGTAAATAGATGTAAATTTCTTTTACAAGAGGTTAGCAAGTTGTTGTTTGCAGATCCTCTAAATCGTTATTTCAGAAATATGCCAAAAACTGTGTTTTGAGTTGGCATATTTTGACTCCTCACTATGCTTTTGTTTATAATCTTTTGGAGGAGGGTGAAAGGCTAAATTATCTGGTGGAGCCATGGGATGATTCCAACCAGGATGAGCTTCCAGGTTCATAGAACAAAAGCAAGGCATAGAAAGAGGTAGTGCCACATGGTGGAAGAGCTCTGCTTTAGTGTCAGACGTGAGTTTTTTTTTTTTTTTTTTTTTTTTGGAGTTTTTTGTTTATGGGGTGTAGAAATCACTCCCCAGAGGGGATGGCCATGCCGCAATCCCTTCTCCTCCATTTTCCTCTCAGGATCTTGGGCACGCACGTACACGCGCCCGTCGTGAGTTTAAGCCACTGGGTCCGGTCAAACCGCGGTCAACTACGTGGGAGTCCAGCGACATAGCCATTACACTAACTGCTGGTCTCTATGTCAGACGTGAGTTTTAATCTAGACTATGTAACTTCGTGGACTAGCTGTTACCCAAAATTAACCTGTGTGTTTCGTATTCCTTATGTGTAAAACAGGGATGAGGATGTCTTGTCTTGTAGGGAAGTTGTGAGAATTCGAGATATAATGTATGATGCTGTCAGACACGTTGTATCCTTCGCGTAAGTGGGAAGCATTATTTAAATCGCTGGGGAAATGGGTAGAAATGTTCCCATATTCGCCCTTTGCCCTGTTTTCTCATCCTGAGAGTTAAAAGACTTGTTATAAAGTATTCTAAAATTAGTTTGGATCACACCCTGGGGGTGTTTGTTCTATGAGTTATAACGATCAACTTTTCGTTTAAAGTAACAAAACTCTTGTACCTCGGTTGCAACTAATCCACTCACAAACGGAAAGCTTAAAGGCTAACGCGAGAGTCCGGCGAGATGTGATTCTTGCTTGGGACTTAGTCTCGCGTTATTTGATCAAACAACCGAGAGAGGTGAAAGGGAAGCAAGAAATATCGCGAGAATCCTCAGAACTCTCGCGATATTTTATCGGTAGCCCCTCCCCCCTTCAAGTGCCGTTTCGGTTTAATCTAGTGTGTGACTGTGAGTCTGTGTGAGGGAGCGAGTGTGTGAGGTATTGAGGTGAGGCGGAGGCGAGATAAGGGGCTCTCTTAGGAGCGAGGGACAAAGGGGACGAGAAGCACCTAGGCCGCGGGACCCTGACGACAGGAAGCCGCCCTGAGTCGGGCTACCGGGTAGGGGAAGGGCCCGCGCAGTCCTCACAGGGCCCGGGAGCCGAGTCGGCCCCAAAGCCCCGGGCCGTCGCTTCCTACTTCCTCGACCTCCCTTGTGCCGGGGCCTGAGGATTGGCTTGGCGGAGGGAGAAACAGACTTGAGCAGCTACTCGTCGACTCCCAACTCCATTGCTGAGGAACTCTCATTTCTTTCCTCGCTCCTTCACCCTCCCCCCCTCATGTAGGAGGGTGCTGAGGAATTGGGAGGGAGGAGGAGCCCGGGCTACCGTCCCTTCCCTCCCCACCCTCTTCTGGGGGCGCTTTGGTGGGCGTGGAGTTTGGATTGTGGGGGAGGGTGGGGGTTACTTTTTGGAGTGCTGGGGAACTTTTTCCCCTTCTACAGGTCAGGGGGAAGGGAATGCCCAATTCAGAGAGACATGGGGGCAAGAAGGACGGGAGTGGAGGAGCTTCTGGAACTTTGCAGCCGTCATCGGGAGGTGGGAGCTCCAACAGCAGAGAGCGTCACCGCTTGGTTTCGAAGCACAAGAGGCATAAGTCGAAGCACTCCAAAGACATGGGATTGGTGACCCCCGAAGCAGCATCCTTGGGTACAATTATCAAACCTTTGGTGGAGTATGATGACATCAGCTCTGATTCAGACACCTTCTCTGATGATATGGCTTTTAAATTAGAGAGGAGGGAAAATGATGAACGTCGTGGAACTGATCGGAGTGACCGCCTGCACAAACATCGTCACCACCAGCACAGGCGTTCCCGGGACTTACTAAAAACTAAGCAGACTGAAAAAGAAAAAACCCAGGAAGTCTCCAACAAGTCGGGATCGGTGAAGGACCGGCTATCAGGAAGTTCAAAGCGTCCAAATGAAGAGAATGATGACTGTGGGAAGGCACAGGTATCCAAAAGTAGCAGCAAGGAATTTAGGTCATCCAAACTCCATAAGGAGAAGACCCGGAAAGAACGCGAGTTGAAGTCTGGGCACAAAGATCGGAGTAAAAGTCATCGAAAGAGGGAAACACCCAAAAGTTACAAAACAGTGGACAGCCCAAAACGGAGATCCAGGAGTCCCCATAGGAAATGGTCCGACAGCTCCAAACAAGATGATAGTCCCTCAGGAGCTTCTTATGGGCAAGATTATGACCTTAGCCCTCCGAGATCGCACACGTCCAGCAATTATGACTCCTATAAGAAGAGTCCTGGAAGTACTTCACGAAGGCAGTCAATTAGCCCACCTTACAAGGAGCCTTCCGCCTACCAGTCTAGCACCCGGTCACCCAGCCCCTATAGTAGACGGCAGAGGTCCGTGAGTCCCTACAGCCGGAGACGGTCATCCAGTTATGAAAGGAGTGGCTCTTACAGTGGGAGATCACCCAGCCCTTATGGTCGAAGGCGGTCCAGCAGCCCTTTCATGAGCAAGCGGTCTTTGAGTAGAAGTCCACTCCCCAGGTGAGCTATTTGTCTAACAGTCCTTTGTAACTTAAGGTGGGTTGTGAGGAACTGTTAATGTTAACATTTTGTTGAAGCCACTCTGCTGTTGGCTAGTCATTCAAATTGGTGAATCTGGTCTCAACCCAGAACTGAAGTTAAAAATTCACATGCTTCAAATTGCCTAAAGGTAAGTATTTTTGAATGGTGGGATCTTCAGTTGTAAGCTTTTGTGACAGAAGCCTTAAGTTTCTGCTTAGTGAGTGGATAGCTCCTAGAGCTTGCTTAAGCTGTTTCTATTGAAAATAATTATTTTATTTAACTTTATTCATTTATTTATTTATTATTTTCATTTGACCAGAGTGGAATATATATATGTGTATATATATACCTATCTATATACATATATATATATATATAGAGAGAGAGAGAGAGAGAGAGAGAAAGCCACCAGGTCCAGGACTCGAACCGTGGTTAGCCATATGGGAGTCCAGCGCCTTTAACCCCCACACCAGCCCACGGATTCTATTCCTCTTAAGTTTTAAATTTTTTAAAAATCACCTTGGCATTAGTGCTTTCAGCTTTATTGGACTTGATTGAAGACTTAAGAAATTACAGGTTTTTATTTATTATCATTTGTACTGTCCATCAAGTTTCTAAACCAGTAATTTTATTTCCTTATTCACATTTTTAATAACTTAAAGATTCCTATCTTTGAACTGATGTTTTAGTGTAAATTCAGCTGATTAGTCCATCTTCCTTTTGGTGGTATACAGCCTAGCAGAAATAGGTGCCAGGGACAATTCAGTTTTCTTTATCATATCACTATTGACCAACCTTGTGATTGCTGGCAATTTTTAATATCTTTCTGTAAAAATATGATAGTAATGCCTTCTCCATAGTATTTTGGTAAGAAAGTCATGTTAGTTGGAATTTCATTATTCGAATGAATTAGCTGTGGAAAACTGTTGTTGTTCTAGGTAATGAAACATACTTCCTTTGTGGTCTCACCTCAGTCTGCAAAAGCAGAATCTAGGCTTCAGTTAGACCTGAATGGAATTCTTTTTTTCGGAGAGGGTTTTTATTTAATTTTTTTTGCTATAGGGCATGTGCCCTCACCAGAAAGACAGAGACAGAGAGACAGAAAAGGAGAAATCACTCCCTGGGGTGGTGGCCAGGCAGCAATCCCTTCTCCTCCATTCCCTTCTCAGGATCTTGGGTATGCACGCACATGCGCCTGGTGTGGGTTTAAGCCACCGGGTCCGGGACTCGAACCTTGGTCTACTCTGTTGGAGTCTAGTGACATAGCCATTATGCCAACTGCTGTTCCCCTAAGTGGAATTCTTATATTGCTTTATGACCTTTGGCAAATGATTTAATTTTTCCATGCCTGAATTTCTTCATGTATAAAATGGGAATAGTAACTACCTACTTCTAGTGCTGTTGTGAGTATTAAATTAGTAAATATGAAGTACGTAGTACAGTACCTTGTACATAGTGCCACTCTAAATTCTGAGTGAGGACAGTGTTGAAAACTAGTAGAGAAATTATCATAATTTGAAAAATCCCATGCTTGTCTTTTATGCCAGTGTAGTTTTTGCTGACTTAAAGTTATAATTATTGATAAACTAGTGTGAATTCATCCAGCTGCAGAGTTCCTAGTTGTCAGAGGCTGAAGTTCCTTAGTATTTTTTTTTAGATTTCTTAGATATTTCTGCTCATTTT